AACGTTTGTGGGTTTAGCACAGAAGAAACTACGATGCCGGCGAAACGTCTGGGAAAGTACCACGTTCATGGTCCAACTTTGGAAATAATCATGCATACAATGGACTCCAGACTAGGTACGTTCCTCTAAGTCTTCCTACCGATATGATCAAGTTGCGAAAACAAGGTCAAACAACTTCTATAAAAATTCTAGCCTACGAAATATCGAAATTAAAAAAGGAAGGATAAACTTAATAGCACACAACTATTGCATTCGCAAAGCAGAATCAAGGCAAGAGTATACAATTTCTACAATAATTTTGAAGAATGATGATACAAAAAATAAGCCTCTACAAAACCAATGTGTGAAAGCTTAAGCAATGATAAAGATTAGCTAAATCCTTTCGAATGAAGATAACCAGATAAAAAATAATTGTAACGGAGGCTATTCAATTATGGATTATATTAGGCGAATATTTAACAAGAGTATACGCTATTTATGGTCGTGTGATTCGGATGTTCCAAATTTTCACAGAAGAAATCTGCTTAGATGGTTTAATCTGGTTAGATCCTCCGTAAGCGAACCACGTCTACAGTGCACCACAGCAACACATATTTCAGGACGCAACCCGATTATGGAGTAAACTAGAGTTCGTATTGGGGAAAACCACTGACCATAGAACAAATCAAAATAACAAGTTTAAACAACACTGAAGGAATTCGTGTAGTCGTCGCACCGGAAACCTAAGAAGTATAGTGTGAGAAGAAGTCCTGCGACCCTAATGAGCCTGTGTTATGTTTTCGTCTGTACTATAGCAGACAGTGAGCCAAAGACTTCTTCGTCCAATCCAAAAGTATTCACGCCTTGATTTCCGATGCGACGATTTCACGAATTCCTTCCTATTAAGTTTTCCTTCGAAATGAAATACTGTGTCTCAATATACGGTAGCCATTTTCATTAATATAAACAAAAGATTCTGATTAAAAGTATGAAGAACAAGATGGTGTGTCCTTTTTTGTGGTCGCAGTCTGATGTCTATCAATATGCTACAAAATTTCCAGAATTATATGGATTCAGTGCCCATAGAGCAAGACAGAACTATCTTCGGAAACTGTCCCAGTGGTGTTCGACATTTCGTAAACGTGAAATTAATTACCGATACAAATGGCGGCAGTATTGATAAAAGAAAAAGTCACTTCAAACGTTTAAGACTGTTCAATTAGAGGATATATGTGAGGTAAATGGAAACTACATATAAGATGGAAGACGAAGTTTTAGCCCAAAACAGAAACTTTCTCAAAATAAATTGATGGTTACCTGAGATCCAGACCCAACGGTTCCTGAAGCAGTAGACGGATATGTGCACTAGCACCTGCAGTGTTGTTGATGATCTGCACTTCTCCTTCCCAGAGTAAGCCGTTGGCATGTGATCCAGATTGGTTGCTGCAGGGAGAAGCTGTGACTGACCCGCCGGGAGTAGAGGAGGTAGAAGTCGTGGAGTGAAGGAGGCTAAGTGACTTGGGACCACTACCAGTAGAGGTTACAGAATGCTGAGAAGTGGCTTGCATAGGATTCATGTCGAATCTAGCAAACGTAGTAAACAATGAAAAGCAAAAATATGCCTACAATAATAATGTTAATGCAAAAGGTTGGTAGAATGTGAGACAAAGTCCTGCGCAAACTGAATTCCACAGAAAACTCAGCAAAGGCAAAATAGAAACTCGAAATAAAAAATGTATCTTCGTTGAGCCCTCTATATAAATAGTTTACTCTTCAGAACAATATACAAATATGTACAAAGCTATAACCAAGCTTTGATTCTTAGCTTAATAGTTATATAACCGCTTCACGTTCCTCTTAAAGCTCACATGGTTTTTCCATCGAATC